CTCCCCCCCCCCGACACACACACAATTTTATTCTTTCACTGGCCAACTTTATTTTGGAGACTGCACATAATTTAGCTTTCTGTGTGAATTGTTTTAAATGAACACGAGATACTCTTTTAGCTTTTAGGTATTAGGTTCAAGATATGTTACATGATTGCACCAAAAGCATAGCCTCATTCTCTTTTGTTTTAACAATACCTCAGTTTCCTTCATTTTAGTTGGCAGAAATTGTTCAGGTAGATTAAATATGCTACACAATAGCTGGCTCTTTCATTAGTAAAACAACTAATATTTATGTTAAAGCAAAAATGAGGAAAAGTATATATCATATATGTTTTTCCCTACAGCAGATTTTTTAGGTTCTTTTTTTATCCCTCAACTCTTGTCATTCTGGTGTTCTAAGCTGAAAATAAAGTTCCAGTATTTTTGTGATGTGATCTATTCATTTGTCATGTTTCCACAAAAGGAAGACGCGTGATTGTTTGGAGTTAGGGGGCTCTTTAAAGAGAGAGTTGATTTTGTTTGTGGGTTCCAGTGAAGTAGAAAATAGAAGTTTGGGCTGAGTCTTTGGCAGTTAGATTTGTGTACATAGTAATGCGTTATCTAGCATAGTTTTGTTTGATGGTTTCAGAATGAAAGTGACTTCTGTTTTTCTTTATCATTAAATAAAGAAGTGTTTTTATTTGTTCAATTTTAAAATAAATACTAAATATTTGACAGTTAAAATAAGCAGTTGATAGTTATTGTGCATTTAAGGATCTTTACAATACACTAATGAATTATTCTCCGGTGCCGTTGCACTCATAATAGATGATAATGCAGCGATGGATTTATATTTAGATAGCCTTTTGCTAGACTTTTCTTTTTCAAACATTATCAGATTGGAAACTATACATTTGACTTCAGCACAGAAACACTTGAAAGACATTTTATTTTGCTATTATATTGGTTATTTGTTTAATGTTTTATTTTTAAATTCCCCTTAAACGTGATACAGAGCTAGTAAGAATAGCAAGGGTGGTAAAAAAAGGAAGAAAAGTTAAGGTTATTGGAAAACAAGTTATTTTACTTGGTAATCTCAAATCAATTTACATCCAGTTACTATTTCTTATTTTACTTGGTACTCAGTTTTCACTGTTAAGTAATTGCCATAGGCGTGCCTTCATTGTATCAAACCTACCAAATATAATGTTTCTAGCAGCAGCACTGTAGAAGACATTCAGGTCCCTAAGTGTTTTTCCACCTCTTAAGAATCTTCTAATTCATTGAGATAATGGCAATAGGTGAAGGGAAATGAAAGTTTGTTTGGTTATGTTTTTCAGAGGGTTTCAGATTACAAAAAAAATGTTTGTTTTGACAGAGAGTTGATGTTGTCCTCTGTTGAAACTCAGTGGTGCAATGCGGGCATTGGGTTCTCCTGAAGCATTAATAATTTAAAAATCGCAGCTTAAAGAATTTATAAAATGGAGGAATGGAAATGAATCCTTAAAACTGAAGCTTTAAAATGGCTGGTCTTGTCACAAAGAATCAAAACAAAAATTAAGATACATAGACACTCGTTGTTTTCTAAAGAAATTCTGCCAAGATGCTGCATAAACCAAATTTGGAAAAAGAAAACGAAGATGCCCCACCTAAGGGGGATAGTGTGCCTTCTGAACAGGTGTTATAGGCAAGTAGAAACGTAACATAACTCTCTCTTAAATATAATGGAATATAAAAATTATATGACTCCTTGTTATAGGTACATTGGCCACTTCACAAATAAAGAAACCTTAAAATACCTTGGTTAGATTTTGTGTGTGTGTTCACATACCAGAGTCTGACTTGTTTTTAGATTGCCAGCTTTCTTAACTTAGGCTTAAAATAATGTGCTATTTTGGAAAAAAATCTTGGGTTTGTTGGAGCACACCTCAGTCCAGTAAGGACAGCTGCTTAGCTACTGAAAGCATCTTCGTTTAAATGAATGGCTCTGATTTATTTCCAAGCGAAAAGGCCCCATTCTTTCTGATGAAAATGTTATCACAAATTGAAATATGTTTCTTAGCTGGTAAAATAGGTTGTATTAAAGAATTTATCTTTAAAGTGGTATTTATCTTTGGGCAATGCTGCACCCAGTGATTTTTGAGCAACTTGAAGTATACACATTTAAAGGGAGTTTTTCTGTGTTTATTTCGTTATACCTAATAAGTTTTATCCTAACTCTTGCATCGCTTATTTATGAAGACTCCTCTAGGTTGCCCTATTTTTGTGCCCTTTTTGAAAGATGTATTGAGGATATCTTGTTCAGTGAAACCTTTTCTAGACCTCTCTTTCACTATCACAGATGCTCTCTTGGCCTTCTCCTAACTGTAAATTCCAACAGTATTACTTCACTTTTATTAGGCTAGATCATTGGTTTTGGCAACCTCTTAAGGCTCTGGGCTGGACTGACCCAGGTTGGGTCACAGGTAGGTGATGGGCAGGTGCTAGGACCCAGTTGCCGCTGCTACTTTTCTCCATGGTCGCATGGGAAAGCGACTGTTGCTGCAGCCCCATGTCTGTGTGCTGGATCCGACCTGCAAGCCATTGGCTGCTGATTCCTAGGCTAGATTGTGTATGCCAGAAATGCTGTGTCATGTAAGCAATAAGATTTCTGTTGAAGACGATGTCATCAGTTTAATCTCCCTACAACTCTTCGCCTTGAGCTCTAGTTTTCAACTTTTTTGGATTCATTCCTATTCCTATTGAATACAGCAGTTTTTATGCAGATACATTGTGTAGATTTAGAGGGGGATGGCAACAGCAGAAAAAATACTGTCTGGTTGGATAGAGATTTGTGTTTTAAAAGAACTTCCATTCTGTTTATAATGAGGAACCTGCCCTGTTCCCTCTTTCAGTAATTTTCAAGGCTTCTGTAAGGCCAAGCTTGCCTGGCTGGATAGCACATGATCTCTGATCCAGTCCAGGGAAGGCAATGGCAGGATCTAGGT